ACCATATTTAAAAAATATGTAATTGCGCGGTCCGTTTAAGTCAACGGCCTTCGGCTTAAGGTACTGCAAAAGTATGTCCGCCTTCGACTTCGTGAAATGAGTAGAAATGCAAAAAGGTTATGTGGTACTTTTAAAAGGTGGGTTATATTTTTATTTGGAAAATTGCCAATGTGCTCGAAACAGCAAGTTCCGACCAGTGCTAACTAGTAGATGCTAAACGTAGGTCCTAAAAGTAAAATATATTCATGAACTGCAGACTAAACGCAGCAGAGAAAGGTCAAGAATTATATTAAGAATTATAGAATTATATATCAAGAATTACAAGAAGATGTCAGAAGAACGAGTTTGTGAGAGCACATACAAGGGTTTGCGATGCAGTTTTACGAGTGAAAAAGACAGGACAGGTTACAAGAAGAACCGACAACCACCAGGCCAAAATGACATTAGGTTGAATTATAAGAGCGAATGAGCAGGTAATAGGAGACCTTCAGGTAGATGCCAGGATATGAATCACAGAAACGATAAGTTTATGACAATGTTTTGTAGAGGTCATTGTCCAGCAGTGCATCGAGATGACTGATGATGATTAACCGAGCAATGTTTGACTGGTTAACGACGTTCGTTTAACCTTCTTTGAAACAACCATGTGAAGCTGAAATTTAACTATTAATTTTATCAGTTTGATCTTCATTAGTCTGGCTTTGTAAATTTAGGAATCACGATTCTTCTTTCTGACCGATTAACGCTTTCTACGTCCAAATAATTGTTTTGCGTAGGGTCATTGTACTCCATAAAACTGAAAGCAGACAAAAGCGTCAAAGGCCAAATTCTGCTGAATGTGCAACGAGAAGACGGACACTCGTACGAGATTGAGTTTCAAGAGTAAATTCGCCTGAAAATCAACCATGCGATAAACTGCTTTACTTTATAGTCTTTCGTCCAAGCTGCCTGCACGAGTTTCGAGATCACGTGTTGTGGCTCTTCCGTTAGACGTCGAACCGATTCGCCGAGTTCACATCTTGTTCACACAACGCGCGTTGTCCGACAAGGCACACTCAGCCAATTCAGCATGGATTCTGAGAAATATTACATTTGTGAAAATAAACTGCGACAGGTAGGTAGGCGAGAAGAACTGGAATACTCATGGAGATAATCATTGAGGATGTAAGAGTTTGTTCGTTTTGTGTTTATTATGTAAACCTGCCTCAGCTTCTTGGTTAAAAGAATTCTCGTAAAGTTTCATTTTTCCATTCGACTCACTTAAAAACACATTTCATCGCTAATATAGCGACCCGTCGAACAGATCTGCTGCTCGATTGGGGTCCCAGTCTTCAGCTGCTCGACAAAGGTCGTTATTCGTTGATGACTACGCATCAATCATCTAATAGAAATAATGCAGCAGAAACTCCGGAGTCCCGCTATATATCTGCTGTGGACCTCATCTCTCCTCCGGAGCCTCGATGCGTTTCACATGGCTGGATTGAGCCTATTCTGTCCGTGGATTATTACGATCAATTCCCGTTCCATTGGGAGCGATGTCGGGGCTGGCCAGTGCCATTCATAAATCAGATTTAAGACGCCCATACTCGCAATGGAGGACCCATGCCCTTATAAAGGCGGAACTAAGCAGTATTGTTTAACGGCCGTACTATACGTCGACAGGAAATGATACCCTGGGAACTATCATAGCAGAGCTACGCTATCCACCCACCACACATCAACCATTATTTTATATACATAGCAATACTATATGTTATTTTTCGTTAATATGCTAGTAGATTCCTAATTGCCATTTGTGTTATTGTTAGTTTATAATCTTTGTCCTTTTTCAGTAAGACAAACGCACAGCCAGAGACTATTCGATCAGGTGTAGCGACAGTTGTCCAATTGGTGTAATCCATTCGTACAACTGGCTAGGTGTTGGACAAAAGAAAATCGCAGGCGATGAGACATCTACGTGAACCGTTGATTAGGCAATAATTTAAAATTTAGATACTGTTAGAATGCTGTTTTTGTTTTGTTTTAGTAAAGTTTTATTTACGTTTTGTAGAATGGCAGTAAGTTTGCTCTCGACCTCGCTAGGAATAGAAAAGTCGTGTGTCCTCACGAAGATGAGCGCTAAAAGGAGTGATCGTTCTGTTCCAACGGACTGCCAGCGACTGATGGCCAGCAGTTATTTGCGTTCAGAGAATACTACAGAAAATAAACAATGAAAAGGACACCGAGAAGAATTTTAAATAAAAAAAGAGGGCAAGGAAACAGATGAACAAGAATGTCGAGCCGTGGCCTGTACACGTAGTTTTGCTGTGCTTTGGTTCAGATGCAAATGAGTACTGCAGTTACTCAGAATTTTCTTCTTATCCCATTGCATGGAGGACGATGCCGGATGCCGTACATGCATTCCACCTGGAGGAGTAAATGCGTTCTCATTTTTCTGTCCTTTCAATGCCACGTCGGTTCTAACGAGTAGTTTCTACCTCGTTGGAGGTCGTCGTGGCGGCCGCCAGCCATCAGGCTTTGCATTCAGTAGCTGCTTCGCAAGCAACTGTCGTCCATTCACTTGCAATGGCCCCACCATCTTAGATCCATTGTTTGCCATCAGCCGGGGTCAGTTTAGTTTGATATTCCAATCTCTTTCTGTCACAACAGTATTTGACATACGGTCGTACCATTTTACACCTAATATTGATTTTAAAATCTTCATTTCCATCAGTTCAAATTTTCTTTTTGAGCTTTGTCAAAGGCTACCGCCTCAAAGTCATAGAGAAGGAGGTTGTTCAGAATGCAAGCAATGTATATCCGCAACTTCGTGCCACTGTCAACATCTTTGACCTTCCACAGCTTGAATCACTTTTCCTCGCTGCCAATAGCAACGCACACCACCTCTTACCTTACCTTTGCTTGCCACTAGTCCGTCTGTAACCAACGTACTTTTAAGGTACAGATATGGCGGTACCTTTCCTACAATTTAAGTCTCAAGGATAAGACAGTTTTTAGTCGGGGATCTAGCAATTCCTACGTACTTCGCCTTCTATAAGTTAATCTAGAGATCCATATCAGAACACCTTTGTTTCAGAGTTAAGAGCAATCATGTCGCAGTGTCGAAGTTGTCAGTACTGTGGACGGCAAAACGGTATCATCCGTTACTGTAAGAAAGCTTACCCAGATGTTTCCCACTCTTGCCGCCTTAACTTCACTTCGTCGTATTGACTGAAATTCTCAGTCGAGAAACATCGCAAAGAGCAGTGCAGATTTCGTTCCTGCAAATTTTTAAGAATTTGCCGAATCTGCCGCCAGTCTGCACTGCATTTGACGAAGGATCTTAAGCATTTGTATTTATATGAATAATTTTTGATCGCATTCCCAACTGCTTACTAACCTTCCACAAGGCAACTTTCTCTAGGTTTAGTCAAAGTCTTGAAGAAATAGACGAATATTGCAAAGAATTGGATTCAGATTGTATCTTCTTTTCCATTAACTGCCTCGTTACGAATATCCGAACCAAACTTCCCCCACCTGCACTGAATCCAGACTGCTTTTTACTCGAGGCCTTCCTTACTGTATGTTACTGGTGAAGTTTCGTGACTGTGGCTGGTCGTCCGCAGCTGTCGAAGAGGAAGGCTTTTCACAGCCAGCAGACCTTTCTAAGAAGCTATCGATTGTTGCGGAGGACCGCCACATTCAGGGAGGTTCACCACCAAATTACCTTAAAGAAGGCCCCTGAGACATGGGTCAAAATGCCAGTAGTGGTCAGTCACCGGGCTAACCACAGTATCTTTTGGTTGTATATAAATAACCATGTTTTGTTTTGATCACGATCCCACGAGCGAATTACTCTATTCATTGGAAATTGCATACCGAACCTAGAAAACTGTCATTTTCAAAATGACTTGACAAAACATTTCATTTGAACTATCCCATTTTCAGGTCTGCACGCCTGACCTTCGCACGATTAATTCTGCAGTGTTGATAAGCAGATTCTGAGGGAAGATGAGTCCATTATGGCCAATGAAAATGACTGAAAAGGACTAATCAGCTTGAAGAATATTCGGGATGTCTTTCTGATATTGTCGCGTTCCGACAACGTTCATTCGCTCAGCGCTGCAAGCCAGGTGGAGTATCACGACAATGTTCTGGCAAACGGATAATGAGACCGTCATAGTTTATCTCTTAGAAGATCACTACTTTTGGCCATCTTGTTCACACAGTATAATTTCGATTTTTGGCCA